CATGTGAGGTGGATGGTCTTAAGCGAAGTGGTTGATCTGCAACGGGGTCGCTGGTCTTCAGCAAGGTAGCTATTCTTCAACGAGTTTGCTGGTCTGCAGCGAGGTCGCTGGTCTTCAGCGAGGTGGCTGGTCTTCGGCGAGGCTGCTTTGCTGTTTTCGGCTACTTTGCTGGTCTCTGATTTACTACGAAGGCCGTTGCTAACTACAAAGTACTGCTCTGGATTAAAAGCCACCCTTTATTCATCAAGAAGCCTCTTTCCTGGAATAGAAGGCCATTTCATACACCATCAGGCCCCTAGCCAGACCAAAAGCCTAGGTGGTGCACCAGTGAACCAGCAAAAGGTGCAGACTGTCCAAACACAAAATATTTTTCCAGACTGGAGCAATGTTGTTTCTAGCTGAGCCCCTGCTACTTTGAACGGAATTATAACACTTCAAGCAGGCTGGGCCTCCTTAAGAGGGAAGATGAGGATATACAAGTCGGTGAAAAGACTCAAAAGAATCGCGTAACGCCTTACGCCTTGTCTTATGAATGCCTCCAAACAAACAAACCAAATGATGACAACTAAAAATTTAAAAAAAAATTATAAAACCCTTCTTGTGATGAATTTTGTGTCGAATACGTGTTGGCTACGAGCTGGCTCATGAACAGTATGGATGCATCTATTTTTCTCAAAGAGAGGAAATTCATGGTTGAGGATGACCTTGCTCTCTACCTCATTTCTTCTACTGCTTTGGTACCAAAATCGGCATAATAAAAGTGCCTCCATCAGTCATACATCGCGCTCAAAATATGTGTTTTTATTATGTGCGTCGAACATCGGATATATGTCTTTTTAAATGTGCACACGCTTCCTGCGTGGATATGTACCACCATCGTGTAGATAAGGTCATCAGATTTATTCATTCGAAATAGGTCATTAAAATGCGCTTGCTAGCCGACTTCCTATGTCAGCTAGCTCGAATTCCTATGTTACGAATTTTCTGCATCGGATTTACGTGACCTAAAAGGTCAGATAAAATCGACATATTTTGCATGAATCTTAGTTTTAATTTGAATATAGATAAAATATAAATGGATATTGACTTCAATTTGAAAAGCATGAGACGTGAGGTCAGTTCAACATACATTTTTTTCTACAACAGGAGGCCCCTCAGCATTGTCATTGCTTTCATTATATGCTTGCATATGCTTGCCTGCTTTGTTGCAATCATCGTAGTCATTAAGCTGTTTTTCATATCGTATGGATTGTTGCTCTGAAAGAAATCGATACACTCTTGCAGCATTTGAGGGTCGTGTTAATGAACTATGGATTACAATTAACTGTAGTGCTTTCTTGCCGTTTCCTTGATTCAGTTAAATGCTTCCCACTTAGATCACCGCAACGCACCGTGATTATAATCATGGTGCACGTGCTGGGGGGGGGGGGGGGAGGGACATGCAACGTCACTGGCGAGTCGTTTGTCATTCCGCTGTTTTGTGCAAAGGATCACGACGGCATATCGCTAAACGGTGAAAGGGTAATTGGGTGCAGTGAACCTAAACTCAATAACATTAAATATGTTTTGTCCCCGGAACAAAATTTCAGGTAGGCATTGCCGCATAGCCATTTAGTTACAGGTGGTTGTGCTCGCACTGTTTACCGACGGCTAAACGTTGTGGCCATTATGTACACCACCGCAGCGGCCTGCATCAGTGCGCTGGTGTAAGTTTACTTGGAACGAACCCGAAGATATGCATTCCTCATGTGTCCGTCGCCGTTAAAACGTTCTAATACGTTTACGGAAATAAATCTCTCCAGTCAGTTCGAAAACGAAGACCATGCTAAGCCATCTCGGAAACTTAACACGCGCTCGGATGGGTGTCAAATCGGCCCCCCAAAGTTTTTCCAGAATGGTTTCCGAACGGCGCGGCGTAGCCGTGCCAGATTTTGCATAGTTGTAGTCAATGGAATAGCGGATCGTTTGGTATTTATAATTAAGATGTACCTTGTAAGGCCGCTAACGTACGGTAGGTCAAAGTCGGGCCATGGATTTTGCGAAGTCAATTTCAAGAGAATCGTTCAATCTGATGCAACAGCGGAGTGTTAGACGAGACCAAACATCTCTGAGATACTTTCTTAGGCAACACAACAACTGAATGAACAAATTCAGTTGGCCTAAGGTCAGGTTTGGAGTTCAGACAATGTCAATGTCAGACAATGTTCAATGTCAAAGCCAATCTGTTTTAGTGCTCTGGGGCTTGCTGTATAGGTTAGTTTCTGGTGCTCATTTTGAATGTATTGATTACAGGAACTGCATTATACATGTTCTATGCACTTCTCAGCGATCAGAATATGTCACTGACCTAAAATGACGCAGGTTAACATTTTCAGGAACTTGCCGCCTAGCGTAATCTTTGTCGCTTATTCAAATGCAAAACCCAAAACAGTCTTGTATGATTTTGGTCACCATGACCTTCGAAAGGTCGAACAAGGTCACTGACCTTCACTGATCATGCGAACTTTTGCTTAAAGCAGGTATCTATGTTCTGGGTGCAGTTTGAAGACCAACCTGTAGATTGATCTTGTTTTACCTTATTTGATCCGAAAGTCATAATCTAGGATCCTCAAAATTTGACCTGAGTGAGTTCATATACAGGTCAGCAGACCCTGTAAATTTGGTATCTCTAGCTCTCTTAGTTTCTGAGATCTCAGTGGGGTGGGGCAAATTGACCTCCCACCCGAGCGAAAGGTATCCAGCCGGCCACCCAGGCGCGTGTTAACTCATGCAAGGCCAGGCAGAAGCTGGCGTTAGATAAATCCACATTGCACTGAATTGTGTTGGTAGCACTATGCAATAGCACTTTGGAAAGTTACCTTATTTCATGCTGGAAATTATATGTATTTTGATTCGCCACACAACCACACATCGATGACCCTTCTTGACTTTTTCGGCAACAAAACGTTGGGTTCCTGTATTGTACTTAATCTTTCTCCGAAACTACTCAATTACTCCAAATTCCACCGCAACACCCAGGCAATCCTTTTTTTATCATATCAGTCCATGACATCATGGTGGAACTGGTACATATATAATGGACTCGCACCGGGCACGCACTAACATTCATTTAACAAGCATTGTGGAAGGGGTGCAATTTTTTAAATTTTCCTAGGAATTATTGTGATTGTAACTGTGATTGTTAAATCCATTTACAAGGCTCAGAGCTTGGGCTAGCTTGACCCTAGGTGACCTGAACTTGTGAATGCCATAAGCACGATAGAAATGCACTTCACAGTGACGTAAAGCAAGAGGAGTCGAAATAAACTCATTGGGGTAAATTTTTCGTGGCCAATAAGGGTGATTTGTGGCTAGTTAGCAAAACGTTTCGAACTTGATCTTGAATAGGAAGTTGTGATGGAACATGACGTTTGGAACCAGAAACTTTAACGTTTTACAAGATATGTGAAAATGATGTCCTTTCGGGTGTAATAAATCTTAGCGCTGTTTTTAAAGCCGTTTCGAGCATATCTCGCTAACAGCTCAGTCTCTAAAGACTCTCTGACGAACCCCACCTTTGTTGTTCTAGGTTTGATAAACTAACCTGAATACGGGCTCCCAAGAGACACACAACTACACAGGATAAAGACGTCACAGGACACCACATAAAGAGGTCTAAATGTACATTCCCATCCGTTTGTACCTCCCAGTGTCAGCCAGCCGCCGCCCCACGTGACCGAACAGCTAGAGGAAGGGGCAAAAGTCTTTAAAATATTTGATTACCAGCGATGTCAACTTTTGCAAATGATTGGTGGCTGAGTCGAGGACTTGGCAATTTAACTGCAAATGCTGTTAAATTGCACTATTTATGGAAAAGCTCTTGAGTTGAGCAGCACAGTCCGTCACCAGGAAATCATCCTCAAAGGAACACAACAACACAATTTGAGAACACAATTTGCGTTAAATTTACCTTTTCCTAAACTTGCTAATACTGCTGCCAAAAGTTTTGCGGGCCCATGCCAACATTGATGTGAAGCGGACACAGCTCAACATTGGAAGTTACGACCCCACAAAAATACAAACCGGCACCACCATTAGCTACAAATAGTTTAGATATAAAATTTTCATCAGCGCGGAGAGGGCAGTGCGGTGTAGCGTATATCTTTGAACCAACAGAATCTGAAAGAGTTGCCGTTCACATTACAGGCCGGTTGTTGGACATTTGGCTTATATGTGTTTCAAATTGTCACAAACTGTTCAGATTGCAGCTGAATAAGTGATACAGTCCCTAACAACAACGCCTTGCACCATTGCTTTCATCCTATGACGAAAATCGACGTGACAGAAAACCAGATTGCATTTTAGAAATAAGGCTCAAAACTCCAACAAGTACACTCGAATACATATACGAATACTATGTCTTGTGAACATTGGCTGTTGGCTTGGGTAACAACACATATGCAGCGACATCATCTTCACCGAACATTTTAATCTCTAGGTGACCGAAGCCTTTATCGGAACTGAATGAAGTACATCAAAGAGTGAGTGTGTTAGTGTTTTTAAACACTAAGAAAAGTTTGCAAAGCTTCATCAAACAATCTGCATTGATGAGGAGGCAGTTTTTAGGCCTCTTTTTTATAGCTATCATCTGCTCTTCTACTTTCCGTCGTATAAGTCGTGGATAAAACTCGGCACTAGTTTGTCGTGTTGGTGTAGGCCGATGTGTTAGTCGGGTCCCGCGGAGTCTCTGGTCTCTGGTGAGTCGGGTCCCGCGGGCTCTCCGGTGTGTGGTAGTGAGTGGAGCTTGCGGGCTCTCCGGTGCAGTAGCGAGTCGGTTCCCGCGAGCTTTCCAGTACAGTAGTGAGTCGGGTCCCGCGGGCTCTCCGGTACAGTAGTGAGTCGGGTCCCGCGGGCTCTCCGGTGCAGTAGCGAGTCGGGTCCCGCGAGCTCGGGAGCTTGAAGGTCTACCTGACTGTCGGGCAGCATCCGAGGTCATGTGCAGTAGACTATCTGGACCTGGCAGCGTCCGAGGTCATGTGCAGTAGACTATCTGGACCTGGCAGCATCCGAGGTCATGTGCAGTAGACCATTTGAACCTGGTAGCATCCGATGTCACGTGCAGTAGACCATCTGGACCTAGCAGCATCCGAGGTCATGTGCAGTAGACCGTCGGGAACAGGCAGCATTGAGAGTTAAAGCCAATATCAACTTGTTCCCCATTTTAGAGCCATATGGTTTGAGTGAAAACTTCTTACGTGGCACCATGTTTCTTTTTTGCGGCTGCTGTGCCTAAAAGGCTTGTCAGCAATGACCGTTTGTTTCGACAGTGTACCGGACACCCTATCAGCGCAGCACAGTATCAATATCGCAGTGGTGACTAGCTATTGTTTAAGTAAATAACGTATAAAATAACTGTCTTTACAGCAAATACTTGCCTTGCATCTGCTTGCTGCTGTTCTCGCAAAGGAGTCATGGTCTTCCTTTATGCATTTTGAATAAAAAGTGCAGTCAAGAAAGCCTAAATGTGCTGTGGTGATGGTGCTTGAATCTGGATTATAGCGGTAAACTTCATCTTATTAACGCGAAAAGGGTGATAAGCTTCAGCGGAATTCGCTGCACAAGATGTCCTGGGGTGGCAGCACGGAAGGAGGGAATGTACGATAAACTGTTGTGTTGTTAGTGAACATGTCTTAAATATTAATGTTAGATGCAAATGCACATGTCTTGCCGCAGTATTGCTCAGCTATTCGCCCCTTTCCCTGATCCCATAGTCCGGGGATGTTCATAGGTGGCCGAAAGGGCTGCAACCGACCCAACCGACAGAAGTCCCCGGCTGACATGGCTGCTGCCGGCGCCACCTGCCGTACCGACTGAAGCGACATCGTGCGGCCTTTGTTGGTAACTTAATGTGCTGGTGCTATCTCAGGGCCCATCTCAATGAGAAGTACTCGTGCTGAACGGTTAGAGGAAACTGGCGCAACTGAACACAGGGTCATACAATATCAGTTGGCACCACAACTTTTATTGTGATAGTCTGATTGTTTTGAATGCATATGCTGTGTTTAGGTTCCGACGGAATGAGGCCTTCAGAAGCTGGCATTGATAAACTGCAGCCCAAGTATCATCCGTTACTTTGTGGATAGATCCTCCTCTCATCCTTGAATAAGAACACCTGGATGAAAGAAGGCCGCTCTTTGCGTCGCTAAATCTTAAAAAAAAGTTTTGGTTTCACCAGTCCAAGATTTCCGCCAGCCGCGGGTGGGAATCTCCAGCTTCTGTCGGCACGTGATCTGCAGCTGGATTAGTAGTTCCAGTTTGAAGCTTAGCCCAGGGGGCGCTGGTAGCGCAGTGGCCACTATGACTGTTCGGAAAGCCAGTGAAATGGGGCTCTGTGCAGCCAACCAATCATGGTGCATCGCTCAACTTCAAGGCCTGCCCGACTCGCCGTGTTTTATAACGCAAATGTACTGGGGGTAGGGGTGGAGAGTTGGCGATACGACACGCACCCTTTTCCGTGCGTTTTCAAACTTGGGATGAAAAAAGTGCGGTGGCCTCAGTGATACCTGGTGAATAATTTGATTTGGTAAGTGTTCAGCTTTATGTTATTGGTTTAAGGCAGGCAAAATGCCTCCGTTGCCAGCACATCGGTCTATTGGGGCATTATGATAATGTGATATGATCATTGTAATAATGTGATAATACCTAAAAAACGACGCAGAGCAGCGGCATGAAGCTTACAAAAAACTTGTCACTCATTCACTTCTGAGCATATTTAAAAGTGTGTTGTACATGTACTACCCATACACATACTGATGACGAAGGGACCATTAAATGCAATAAGGTCCTCCCCGCCACCCGTGTGCGGCATGTTGGTTGATTGCGCGTGCCACCGCGCCGTCAAGAGATCATCGTCAAAATTTTTTAAGAGCGTGTTTTTCAGAAACAAGGGATGCAAAACACTTGGTGGTGTCACAACACACGCAACATACGCTTTGGAGGCACCAGAGGCTATAGAACTTTGAGTGAGCGATTACACGACGTGTCGGAAGGATATCCTCAGAAAACCCCAGGGTGAGGGGTGTGGGGGGGGGGTACAGCAATCCCCTATCCTCCTATCATATATCCTTTCCCCCCCCCCCCATCAGGGGGATGTTTAAACAGCAATAACAACGCTGACATCGAACGTGTATGCTGTAACAGTGTTTGTAGCCGCTAGTAAATGTAACAGACGACCGCTTTTTTCCATAATTGTAGGCGCGCATGCATCAATGTGAGCGAAAGAACGACAAGGATGCTACCAGTGAGCGGTACTAAGGAGGTTCTGTGGACAGCAGGAATATGACACATTTATGCTAACATTTGTGGGAGTAATTCAGCCGCTAAATTGTTTCAGTTGGCTAAGGATGGGAGGAACTAAATGATGGTAGGAACGAAACGGTGAAAGAAACTAGATGGTGGAAGGAACTAAAAGGAACCCAATAAACTAAAAGGAACGATGCGAACTAAACGGACCTAAATAACTAAGAGAACGTAAAGGAGCTAGAAGAACCTAAACAACTAACAGGAGCTAAATAATATAAAAATGTAAATGAGCTAGAAGGAACTAAATCAACTAACGGGAACTAAATGAACTTGAACGAACTAAAGATAAGTGAACTTGTGTTTAGATCCCACTAGTTACGAGACCGCACCGCGACCTGCAGTTATGCGGCCTCTCAATAGTCATGCAGTGTCAGAAGCGCCCTAGACTAGTGGTGACGGCCGCGTCGATGGACGACCCGGCGCCCGCCGCCGCCCCACTTCACCGCGGCCGGCATCCGTCACCCGTCACTCCCTCCGTCCTCACGTCTGTCGACCTTTGGCGGCGCGGTTCGACATTTAGTGACGTCACAGACGGCAGCGGCGGCGGCGCCCGCCGCTAGGCGTGAACTCCGGCACCGGCAGACGTCACTTCACTGCTCCGCACAGTTGCCGCGCAACGCATAACCGCATTCGCGAAGAACTACGGCCCTGGACCAATTGGCAGCGTCTTTGCGTCGTCTTGACCAATGAGCGGTATCCCTGTGGCGGCTGGATCGGTGGTGCGCGCCAGCTTGGCGGCTGGACCAATAGGTGGCGCCCACTTGGCAGCTGAACCAATGTGCAGCTCCCGCTTGGCTTCTGGACCAATGAGCGGTGCCCCAAGTGACGGCTGGACCAATCGGCGTCGGCTGGAGGCGCCGCTGCCGCCTGGCGCTTGCATCAGATCGCTGTGGTGACGGCCCGGGTCGCCTCAGCGCAGAGCGGATCCTGGTGCCCGTCGCCGCCCCAGGAAAGGTCACTGGGGTCGGCCGTCCATACACAAAGGTCATATACCTGCGACAAAGGTCAGACGGTGGGCAGCTGTCGCCGGTTGCACTGTCACTGGCGCCGGCGAGCACAAACAGGCGCAGAACAATGATCAGGTGTTACCGTCTCGGCGGCAGGACAATGCAATGATGCAAATGGAGCAGTGGCGTAATAGTGTCCACGCGGCTGCAGCATGATAGCGCCTATGTTAAATGTTCAGATGGTTGGACCCCATCCCACCCCACCCCACACCCAACCCCGGTGCCAGCGCCTCCGGCTGGAGGCCACGCTGCCGCCCGGACTGAGCCAAAGCGCTGGGTAAGATGGATAAGTTGGGCGGTGCCACATTGCCTCTATGTCCTCATTAGTACATTGTCCCTGTGTCCTGGGACGGGTTTCTTTCAGTTCGTACGACACTGCACATTTCATTCTGCTGTGCTCTAAATTCTGGCCGGTTGCGTATTGCTGGGCTAGAAAGAGTCAAACAGCTAGTCTTAAAAGCAGTTGTCCTCATATCTCACATTCAGTTATGCTCACGGGGTTCGTGCATATAGATTCTACAGTTTCGTATGCACTGATCCGTTAAACATTCATCCAGGCTAGCTCCACACCGGAAATGAAACAAGCATGGGCACATTCGACACACTGTGCCTTTCTGGGTATGTCATGCGACCCCAAAAGCCGTCCCGATTCATTTGCATGTGCATGCTTATCTAGGCGTGCTTATCTATGTGTGAGAGCGGAGGCTCAATCACATTCCTCGCGATTTGGGAACGTCCGACCCCAGCCCAGTTTGACTGCACTACATTCACGGCATTGCATTGCATTAATTGCTTGCATTCATTACTAGCCCGCGGATAGAACAAATCCGTGAATAGATCCAGTAAACATTCACCTCAATCCACAGCCTCCGAATGTCCGGAACCTCCGTCACGTCCACAGCTTGGATTCCGGCATCAAAGAGCGTACCTGGGAACAGGTTCTGCAATGAAGCGAGAGCTGTAAATGAACGCATCCGGTGTTGAAACGCCATTGCTCCCACAGAAGAATCGTCTCGCTGCTGCAGTCCGCAGCTGTTGAGTGCCTCAAATTTGTTTTAGTGCTGCTCGTCAGACGAGGAATTAGAGAACCATCTTGCCTTATAAGTGCTTTATGGATTATCATAAGACTCCAACTGGCCACACATATTTGTATGCTCAAATATCAATTCTCAAAACGCCCACTTTGAAATGCGGTTACTGAACGTCTCTGTCGTGAAGAGGCAAACTCAGCAGTCATGTTGAGTGTGTGAAAAATATCCCCATGCTTTGCTTGGACGTTAAGCACCCGCATGTGACAGCCACATTGCTTTTAATAATGCTGGAAGATGTGAACAGCAAATGTGTGCAATCCTGACGTGTCGTTTTTGAATGCCTTCACTTTCAAGACAAAGGTACCTGTTTTGCATGTCTCGTCGTGGTAGGTACACTTACATTAGTGCTATATGTTAATATTCTCTCCCATGGGGTATCGATGTGACCCTCCCCCACACACCTCCAGGCTCCTCGAGGATGTCTCTCCAGCATGTTTTAGAGGGTGCCTCCCCAGCTTATAGGGCATTCACTGCATGTGTTCTTGACACCAGGCTCATGCTCCTAGCTTGTCTTGTTTCGAAGTTTTTGGAGTTTTCGGCAGTTTTTGAGGAACACTGTACGGCGACCTACGGTCGACGTGGACGGCAGGCGACAGCAGACGATGCCGAGGAACGCACGAGGCGGGCCGGCACCGTTACATTAAAGGGAGTGTCCCACATTTATATCGGGTTTTGGGCCGAAATAGCCATCTTGAAGGTCTTTTGGTGCTGTTCAAAATCCTGCCTTTCCTTAGACCTGAGCCCCTCTAGTTTTGAACTAAACGCCCGCGAAAATTGAGCAAAGTACACCGGGTAGACTAGTTTAAAGTCACTTTGGCATTTAAGGCGTCATAACAACATCATTCAACTCCTGCCATTTCATAAGCTGTGCGGCGATCAGGGCAAAGAAACATGCAGTTGTCGAAGCATTCATATTTGGCGTTTATGACAGCGATTTCCAGATATAACAGTCGCCAGTTGCAGATATGCTCACGCTGCAACGCATGCTCACAAGTACGGACCAACTGACGGCCGTTATATCTCAATCATTCTCGTGCAAGGTACGATGACTTGACCTGGCACACCAGGTGAATTATTGTTTTAACAACATGAAAATTAGTGTCATTCGCGAGATTATGTTGGGACCAATCCACTGGAGTTTTTGCCAGGCTATGCCTTCATTAGTTTGGAAGCGCTTATAAGGACGGTTGAATCGCCCGCCCCCCCCCCTGCCCCCCATGACTCTGCGAGCTAGATGTTTTTAAGACAGTAAAAGTGATGTGCTTTATTCTATGACATAAACTGATTAAAAGGTCACGAATCGGGTGTAAATTTCCTTACACATTCCATTAATCGGATGAAGGCTTTCTCACACTTTGCCCTCAGACCATTGTCATGAAAGCTCCAAAATACACCTATTGAAAATCTCTCAAGCTTCCAAAACATGTCGTTATGGTTTTCCTGTCAACTGGCATTTTGTGACCACGGCGCTGACCAAAGCACTTCTTGTTTTGTCGTACTAAGTTCGCATCCAAACTCGAAAGCTGTTAATGTGCCCAAACATTACAGAGAATTTTTGCATTTTCACACCTGGCAGCTTGGATTGTATGTTGTTTACGCAGATCGCTTTGAACAGATCGTTGGGAAAACTCTGCTTTTGATGAACGAAATTGCAGAAGTAAACCTGAATTGGCGGACTGCAATCATCAATGATGGGTGATTTAACGTAGTTCAGCCTCGACCGGTTACATCGAAAGAAGGAAAAACCATGGGAGGTATGCAAGGTGCAACCAAGAAAGGGGCCCTGGGGGGAGGGGGCGGGGGACGGCCACCCTCCTTGGGCCCGGATTTTTCGTTGTTCGCCATGTTGGGCTCCCGGTAGTATTTTTAACTATTGCGGGTAGTACAAGCAAATGATAGAACTTTGGTTGCGTGTCCAAGGTCTTCGACTTGGTTGATGATTCCTTGGTCCTTACCCAACTGTCAAATGACTGTGGATTTTGCTGCACCAGTAAAACATAATGGATTTACTGAGCTATTGCAAAATTGAGCAGAATACCCAGAGGCCGTTGAGATTGAGATAAATTTGGTCAGAAGCCTGCATTGATGGTTGATGTGAGGTCCGTCGCACGATCACGAATGACCACCGTCACAGCTTTGAAATGACGACTTTTCTTAACATAACTAATGCATGCTTTTTAACAATGCCTCATGACATGCCGAAGGTTCGTTTTTTCAGCATCAGAAGTGCCAACGCACAGTAGCGTCAGTTTATCATTAAGAAAACCCATGATACGGCCTTGAAGGTCATGGAGGCTTTTCAACACGAGGATCGGACCTAAGCCTGCATTCACCATTATTTCACTGATTTTACTGCGTTTGGGCTTGCTAGTCACTGAAGTCACTCACCCAGAAGGCCCTCTATGTGTCCTCGAAGGTGGTGAAGACCTCCCAGCATGAGGATCGTGCCTAAATACACCTTCACGGCGGGTTCTGAACTGGACGGGCTGGCGGAAGATGTGGATGGCGCAGAACTTTTCATTTTGATAAAAGCAAAAGAGCGCAAAATATTATACAGATTTCGGCAATAATGAGTAGCCCGTTATATTTAACTCTAAAATTTGAGAAAACACCGGAAAGCGCACGAACAATGATTATAACAGATTTGAAATCGCTGAGAAAACCGAAGGGCCATCCTCGTGACATGGGCTGCTTCACAACCACCGGATAGGGGACACTGCATTGTGCCACACCCTCCACACGTTAACCAGTGCTGATGCACTGCTTGTAGCCTGCGCTGTAAGTCTGGGGAACAACGCAATATCCGCCAAAGCTGGTTCTTGAACTAGCCTTGCCTTTTACGTAAGCTGCTCAGCGCATTAGCGAGGAAAATTATTGACATAGATGAGACAGCAGTATTGGACTTATTCCTCGGACAAAACCCGGAAGAATGGAGACATAGATTGGCTATCTCCATTCTATATCTCCCAACTATATCTCCATTCTCCTGGTTTTTCTCCGAGGAATAGGGCTAATGACTTAGCCTTGCCTTTTAGCTGTATTCGGAAGTGCATATCTTTAATTCCGTTTGAACATAGCTACGGCGAGGAAACATCCTTGTGTCTTAGGTCGTTTCGAAAGGCGTTTCCCCACATATTGAACAAAACAATTGTTGCAAAACATATCGGTTGGTCTGTGTGCTGCACGTGCTGCACGTGCACCGCTGTCAAAATGCCCGGACTCACAGAAATAATAGCAGCTCCATGAAAGTGAGAACAAACATTCCCGATGTCGTGCATATATTTCACGTGGAATGTGAATATTGCTCCCAGAACTGACTTTGATTGCCGCTCCTCACAGTGCATGCATCCATCACGTGACTGGATTGCCACTGTATTGTTGGTAGATTACTTAGTCCCTCAAGCGTTCCAGCTTCCTCAGAGGTACAATCCGTCTAGGCTTCACGGGTGGCCCCTGATGTCAGGAGTGGATGTGCGTGATTGCGAACGTGCGGGACAAACACGCAACAGTTTTTTATTCTATATTTTTATTATATTTTCATTTAATTTACCTCCTTGTGCGCTGACCGATACCGCGACATTGGGCCAGCGTTCAGAGCTGTCGGTGTGCCAGTGGACAAAGTAAACGATCTCCTTGGCTGACGGACATGATATTGAAAAGCACGAACCAGGGGGCGAGGGAGAGGCTTGCCCCACGTCAACGTCCGTGAACGTCTAGCATTGATCCTCTGATGGCGCATGAAAGCCCGCAACAAACACAAAACAGACCTGACCCGCCCACATATTCGGGGCCTCTGCGACCCCGCTGGCGGATGGGGCTTGTTGCATGATGCAATCATGATGCACTGCGTGACGCAATCAAATGCCATCAGAACGGGATACAGTGTGAGCAACGTGACTGACCATGTATTTCAAAACCTATTGTGACACTGCTTTGTGCCCTGCCCACACATTCCACACCCTTTACATAGCGTTTCTTTTCTTATGAAAAAAATCCATCAAAAAGCGATAAGAGGGGGGGGGGGGGGTATGAAAACAATTCCAGTAAAAAGCGATAAACGCGAGGGTCTCTGTCCACATTTCTGCGCGATGGCGTCAGCCGCCGCAGTGCTCAGAGATTTGTACGCGCTCCGTCCGCATACTGCGAGTCAGCTCCAATGTAGGCAATTTGGAAGTGTGCGACCAACTACCCCTTGTGCAAGTATGTGGTGATGTTTCCTTGCACATATCGTGTGGCACTGTACGGCAACGTGCGATGCGACTTCTATGGCGATGATTTACATGTCATTTGCGTGCGGAGACCAAAAGGATTTCTTTTACGTTGTTTGAATGTAGTTTCTCTGAAATTATCATTTCGAGGTCTCTCCACCACATTTGGTCTCAGCGCGATGTGTTGAAAATTGCCGGCAAGGCCGCTTCGGGCGGTTCTGTTCGAAGTTGACCGACCGCACGGATATTGACCGCAAGTGCCCTCGAACAAGTCAGCATACGAGGCCAAGGCCTTGAGGGGATGGGGCACCATGGTGAAGTGCACTGCCATGACCTGCCGGTCTGACTACACGCTGGCCAGGGCTGAAACGGAAGCCATCGCGGCCGCGAGGTTGTATCCCTTCTTCTGCTCGGTGCGTGCCTTCCCCAAGGCCGACAAATCGTGAATAGGTGGACTGCTGTCTTGGGAAGATTGAGACAGGGAATTGCCGCCGTGAGGCGCAGGAACACCTGCTGGAACCGGACAACTTTGGGGTGTATGAGCTCCAGCTCCGGCCAGAGCACTTCTGCGGCCAGGACAGCGCCTTCAGGAGGGCTGAGCGCCTGTGCAATGGCCTGAAGCGCTCCGTTGTTCCCTCCGCCTTCGACGCCATTAGGAGTAAGTAAAAGACACATAAACTAAGCATTATACACACTAAAAAAGAAAAACGATGTGATGAAACCAACCGGACATGCACACTCTCCGAAAAATGTCGTAGGGCAAGGAGCACACAGCCAGTGAGGACGTATGCGGAGAACACACACATACTAATGCTGGGTTCAATGAACCTAAACCACCGTGAACTATGTTGGCCGTGATCCTATACTCACCTTCGAAAATGTAAGAATGCATGTCAGTCACGTAACCATCGGGGTGCCCCCTCCCCCTGCCCCCCCCCCCCTGCCCCCATCAGCCAGGGTTGCACTACTTTTTTAACGGTTTGACAAGACTTTGGTCTTAATTCGTAGGAGTTTAACAATATTTGGCATATCCCCCGATTGAGGAATGCTCTGGCTACTTTGCTGAACGCATCCCTCCCACTCTGCTTCACAGAGAAGGTTCACGCACCTGGTGGATACCTACTGGTTTTCCCGTTCAGGTTCTAAGCGACCAAATGGTTTTGGCGGGCAGGGGCCACGCTCAGTCGCTAAATGTTCTTCCAGGGCTCACGTTCATTCCAAAACCACCACGGTCTTTGCCGTGGAGCTTCTGGGCTGATTTAGCAAAACATATGGTGGTGATGTCATTCTTTTAAGAGCCAGTTTGCAGTAGAGCAGCTGCGACCAGTCCCCACGCCGCCCAACAGCAGGCGCTGCAGCCCGGTGCTCGTGAGCACGGCAGTGTTGTGGGACAGGACCAGTACCGAGCTGTGCGGCGACCTTTACAGCTCTGGCTTCTTGGCGTTGTTCCACGGGTCAGCCTTCGAGAGGCTGACCCCTGCGCTCACGGGGGAGGAGGATCAAAAAAGTCAGTAACATCAAGTACCTGCAGCTGAGGTGTGTACCGAAGTATCACGTGCCAGGTACTTATGCGCGCGCGGACACGTTTACAGCGACGGGAAGGGTCGCGTCACCCAAGAAAGGTGGCTGCAGAGGAACATTCATGCAGAAGGGTAGCTACAGGGGACTATTCACGCAGAAAGGTGGCTGCAGAGGAACAGTCATGCAGAAGGGTAGCTACAGGGGGCTATTCACGCAGGAAGGTGGCTGCAGAGGAACAGTCATGCAGAAGGGTAGCTACAGGGGACTATTCACGCAGGAAGGTGGCTGCAGAGGAACAGTCATGCAGAAGGGTAGCTACAGGGGACTATTCACGCAGGAAGGTGGCTGCAGAGGAACATTCATGCAGAAGGGTAGCTACAGGGGACTATTCACGCAGGAAGGTGGCTAAAGAGGAACATTCATGCAGAAGGGTAGCTACAGGGGACTATTCACGCAGGAAGGTGGCTAAAGAGGAACATTCATGCAGAAGGGTAGCTACAGGGGACTATTCACGCAGAAAGGTGGCTAAAGAGGAACATTCATGCAGAAGGGTAGCTACAGGGGACTATTCACGCAGAAAGGTGGCTGCAGAGGAACATTCATGCAGAAGGGTAGCTACAGGGGACTATTCACGCAGAAAGGTGGCTGCAGAGGAACATTCATGCAGAAGGGTAGCTGCAGGGGACTATTCACGCAGGAAGGTGGCTGCAGAGGAACATTCATGCAGAAGGGTAGCTACAGGGGACTATTCACGCAGGAAGGTGGCTGCAGAGGAACAGTCATGCAGAAGGGTAGCTACAGGGGACTATTCACGCAGGAAGGTGGCTGCAGAGGAACATTCATGCAGAAGGGTAGCTACAGGGGACTATTCACGCAGGAAGGTGGCTGCAGAGGAACATTCATGCAGAAGGGTAGCTACAGGGGACTATTCACGCAGAAGGGTGGCTAAAGAGGAACATTCATGCAGAAGGGTAGCTACAGGGGACTATTCACGCAGAAAGGTGGCTAAAGAGGAACATTCATGCAGAAGGGTAGCTACAGGGGACTATTCACGCAGAAAGGTGGCTAAAGAGGAACAGTCATGCAGAAGGGTAGCTACAGGGGACTATTCACGCGGAAAGGTGGCTAAAGAGGAACATTCATGCAGAAGGGTAGCTACAGGGGACTATTCACACAGAAAGGTGGCTGCAGAGGAACATTCATGCAGAAGGGTGGCTACAGGGGACTATTAACGCAGAAAGGTGGCTAAAGAGGAACCTTCACGCGGAAAGGTGGCTACAGAGGAACGTTCACGCGGAAAGGTGGACAAGGCGCGCAGGTTGTAACAGCCGGACGACTCCAAAGTGCTGAAGGGTCTGCTGGAGGTTGCCTCCCACGCCGAACGCGGGGACCTAACTGAAGGGGCAGAGCAGACTATGGGGCACCTGGCCAGAAGGGACGGAGTCGGTCATCAGACACCTAGCCGGAAGGGACGCAGCAGGCTTTCAGCCACCTAGCAGAAGGGACGGAGCAAGCTATCAGGCATCTGGCCAAGGGAGGGGCGTGCGGGGACCTAGCCATGACCTGAATGACGTCCTGACTTCCTTCACGGACTTGCTGAACCTTGTGAATCCCGCCCGTCCCTCGCACGTGGCCGTCACTCTTTCCTAAGGATATATGCCGAAACATAAGGTGACAGGTCAAGGACAAGGGCGCCAGGCACGTCTGGTGTGCCTGCATCAAGCTCAAGGAAGCATTTCAGATGTTGCACTTCATGATTTCTATGGCCGTCGTTCTCTCCTATTGGCATATGCCAGGACGTAAGGTAGCAGATCAGGGATAAGAGCGCCAAGTACGTCTTGTGACTGCACCAAGCCCAAGAAAGCATTATGGAAGATCGTGGCAGCC